ATCACACGCACAAAACGGAAAGTCAACCACTGACGCCGGCGGGGCCCTGATGTCTGTCGACAAAGTAAAAGTTGCGCGAATGCGGTACAGATACTGTACAAAGAAGCTGGCATAAAAACTCTGGATCAAGCAGCTGGAGCGGCCGCCGGGCGGAAGCGCGTCGACCGCTTGCGACGCGCCTGGAAACTGACGCACTGTTCGTCGCTGTCGTCGTCGTCGTCGTCCAGCAGCGCAGCAGGCGTAGCGGAAGCCGCTGCATCTTCATCAGCGTCTGCAAATTGCGACTCTTCCGTCGCAATGATCGGCTTGATAGCGGCCGAGGGCATTTCCAGCGCCTTCTTCTCGAGCACGTCGGCAAGGTGCACCTCGTTCTCTGAGCCGCCCGTCGCGTACGTCCCAGCCGCCGAGGGTGCGCGCGAAGAGTCGTCCGAGCCTTGCAGACGATGCGACGCGGAACGCGACACGCTGCCCGAGCTGATTGGGGTGGCATCGTCGCTGGGTGGACGCGCACTCGAATCGACAAGTGCATCCGCGGTCGTCTCGGTACCCTCGGCCTTTCGCAGTGCCTGCGCCTCGGGGGACAGCCCTACGTCGATGGCAAAGGCCTGACTCGAAGGTGCCGCAGCAACATCATCAAAGTGCGCGGCCGCGACTGGGACGGCGTGCTGTCCAGGTGCTTCGCTCACCTCGGGAGGCGACAAGAGGTGCTGATACGGAGGCTTAAAGACGTTGTAGCCACCCTCGACCGAGGGCGTGAGGATGTCGTGCGAGCTGTCGCTCCCACCCGATGTCTTACGACGGTAGGCCTCCGGCAGGAAGGTCGGCCCATCCACTCCGTCGCCGTTGACGCCGCCGCCACCGAGGTGGTCGCTGTCACGCACAGACCAGCCATGGCCCGCATTGACGAGCATGGGGCCGGCGCTGACCCCATGCAAGTCGTCCGAGAGGTCGTCATCCGAGAACTCGAGCTCGAGGTCAACATCGTCGTTGTCCGGCTCGTCGAGTGCCATCTGAATAGGACGGCGCCTGCCCAGCCGATCAAATGCAAAGGGTGGTGCCTCCTCCAAGCCCGTAAGCGGAGAAGTGGGTTGACTGGCAGCTCCAAAGGCGCTTCGCGCGATGCTCCCGCTCTCGACAGGCTCGCTGAGCAATTCCGTCGAAAGACTCGGTGCTCCCGTCAGGGCGCTGCTGCTGTTGCTGCCAAGGACGGGCGCGCTGGTCGGAGTTCCGGATCCAGGAAGTGCTCCCGTCTGTCGCACAGCGCCGTGCGTGTCGACCACAAGAGCGATGCTGGTCGGAGGGCCAGCGGCGGCTTCTCGCCGCGAACTGCTGGCGTTGCTGCGAACACTTCCGCTGCGTCCTACTGTGCTCGAACCAGCTGCACCGAGGCCAAAGGGAGCAGCCTCACGCGAGCCGCGCGTGCTGGGTCTGGACGTGCTACGATGTCGGTCCTCGCTGGTCATGAGCCAGCTGCCTCTCAAGAAGTCGCCCAGACGATGGCGGCCCGAGACTCGCGAAGTTTGCGAGATGCTGAGAGTGGACGAGCGCCCCTCGGAATCGGCGGAACGCCGCGGTGAAGCGGCACGATGCGGATGCGAGTCGTTGCTGGTCCGCCCTTGTCGGCTAAGCATGCGCTGGAGCGACGTTGTCTGCGGTGATTGAGACAGGAGCACGGGGGAGACCGGGGCCGCGCCTCCCTTGGACGCCAGCGCATGCGTACCGGACGAAGTGCGTTGTGGGATTTCGGGAGCCGCGTCGGAACGCGCACCTATGCTGCTGGTCGAATGCGCCGAGACTCTTCGCTGCGAGACCAGACTTGGAGGTCTCATCGTATCGCCCTCAAGCCTACCAGTAAGGACGAGGGGCGGTAGCATGTGCGCCGCGCTCGAGCTCTGCACAGAGTCCTCCTTCGACAGCGAGGGCGAGGCGGGCTGTCCCGAGAGTGCCTTTGATTCAACCTTGCCGGTCGTCCCTGCCAGCGTGGTGCGGGGCGATCCGAGTGCAATCGCATCACCATCTTCGTCGTTACGAACCGTGGTGGTGAGTGCACGAAGAGTGGTGGTGCCGTCACGGCGACCGACTGAGCCGGCGCTTTTCTGGCGGGAGAAGAAGATGTGGCCTTTGAGTGGCGTCCGTGGCGTGCGAGCAGACGAGCCCGAGTGACTGGACGAGTCGAATGGCGTGACGGGCGTGGATCCGGCATCTTCAGGCATCGCGAGTCGATTGGGTCGCGGCGAGCTACTGCCAGAGTCGGTGTGAATGTCTGCATATACGGACGATCCGGCAGAAGAGTGGTTCACCGACTTGCTGCGGCGCCTGCCGCCGCTGAACGAGTCGAGTAGCTTGGACTGCCAGCGCTTGACGCGCTGTTTGAGCTTGGAAAAGCCTGTCAGTGCGTCCTCGACATCGGCGTGCGAGATCTCGACAAAGGGATGGTGATGCGGGTCCGTCTCCGAGAGCCATGCAGGAGCATCCTGCAGGCCGTGAGTGATCCACGGGTGCTTCTTGACTTCCTCGAGGGTGATGCGCTTTGCCGGGTCCTTTTCCAGCAGGCGGTCCAGCAAGTCGCGCAGCTGCCTAGCATCTTCGCTTAGGTCTTGCGGATCGGCATCAGGGATGAGATCCGAAGGGCTTTGCGGCTGTGCATCAGCCTCTTCGTCGGTCCACTGGACGTGAGAGCGCCAGCGGGGCTTCCTTGGCCCGACTCGGACGCGGTCCGCGCCCATGGAGACGGGAAGGGAATAGTCGGTGGTGGGAATGACAGAGAAGAGCGCGTACTCGGACTCAGCGGTAAAGGGCGTGGCACCGAACAAAAGGCAGTACAGTGTCACACCTAATGCCCATACGTCAATCGCCTTGGTCACCTTGGGACGAGCAGCCGCAGCGGAAGATTGCTTGGCTTCTGCTGCATCCGCCAGTGATGCGCCTTTGGCGTCATGGCGAGGATCGATGGAAGGAGATGCCGAAGAGAAGGAAGACATGCAGAGTTCAGGCGCGAAGAAGGCTGGACTGCCGGCCGTCTTGGCTAGCTCGCGATCGTCGACCAGACTAGGGTCCGATGTCGAGCCTGTAGGCAGAGCCAATCGGCTTGAGGAGGATGAGGCGGACGAGGACCCAGCGGTGGCAGCTGGTGCTGCTGCGGACTGTTCGTTGGCGATCATCATGGCGTAGCTGAAGTGGGATACGCCAAAGTCTGAGATCTTGACGCGGCGATCCTTGTCCCAAAGTAGATTGGCGGGCTTGATGTCGCGGTGGATGATGCCCTGGTAGTGGAGATACTCGAGACCGCAGACTACGTCTCGGAGGATGCTGCGCGCCTCGTCAACGGTGAGCGTGGGCTGAGCTTGGTCGTCTTTCCAGACGATCTCGCCGCCTTCCATATACTCGAGGACCATAAAGATCTTCTTGCTTTGAGGATCGTCAATGACTTCCTTGAGCTGCACGACGTTGTCGTGGCTGCACTTTTTCATGATGGCGATCTCGCGACGCACTTTCTGATCTGTGGTCCACATGAGCGCCTTTCGGGCTCGCTCGCGCTCCTTTTCGCGACGGCGATCGGCGTCTGAGTCGGGCTGGGCCCGCTTGCTGTGGATACCGAGTGCTGAAGCTGAGGGTGAGCGCGGCAAGTGAGGCAACGGCGCAAACTGAGTCGAGGGAGTGCTGGGTACGCCTCGGACGGTGGTGGATACGGAGGTGGTGTCATCCTGGGGTGAGTCGGTCTCGGGAGTGGCATCTTTGGAGGTAGCTTGGGTGTTGACTTGATCGATGGCTCTGCTGGGACCGGGTGTGGGATCGACGTGGAGACTAGAGGAGCGAAGCATCTCCCTGTTGCGATTGTTTCGACCCAGCAGGCCGAGGCCGGCGCCGAGACGCTTGCGTGCCTCTCTCTCTACAATCTTGACGGCGACTCGCTCGCCAGTTTCGAGGTCGGTGGCGAGGCGGACCTTGCCGTGAACGCCACGACCGAGCTCGCCCTCGATGAGGTACTGGTTGACCATGCGACGACCGCTGGTATGAGTCTGAATGTCGAGGCGATGCGTCTCGAGTACGTGAGGAGGGCGGTTGGAGCGGATTGAGGCGTGCGGGTTGGGTGAGGATCGGCCGGATTCGGGCGGAGAATTGTAGGTGCTGACGCTGGTGGATGCCAATTGGGTCTGAGGCGGTGGATGCGACGATGAGGTGGCGGAGGGCGTGGCGGCGTTGAGCTGACGATGGATATGCTGATTGAGCAGCTGCTGTTGGATCTGCTGTGCGTAGAGCTGGAGTTCGTTGATGGCGGATCGAGCGGGGGTGGATGAGCCTGAAACGACGGAAGGAGATGCGGAAGCGGATCGGCTGGCAGCGTCGTCGACGCTGAGCAGCGCTGACGAGGCGGTTGCATGCGTGGTGGGATGTGTGGTGGTCTCGGGGCTCGATCCGATGAGAACTGGCTGGGCAAGGTCCTTGGAGTCGGAGGGCATCGCTGGTGAGCTGTACAGCTGCGCAGGTGGCAACATGGAGGCGTTGACAGAGGAAGATGTGGGATCGGCGTCGGACAAGGAGGGCGCAGCAGCACCCGCAGAAGCATGACCCGCAAGAGCGAGATTCATGGCCGAGTATGGTGGGCTGGCGACGGGCTCACCACTCCTGCGAGGGCTTGTCTCGGTCGGTGCTGGATGGTCGAGCGACGGCTGTGCAGCTTCGCACGGTGTAGCCGCAGATGGGATAGTGGCGGGGTCGCCTTGCGACATGGATTCAGTGGTCATGATTGCGATGCAGGCCTGCCGATCCGCTACACGAAGGGTGCGGGGATGTGCCGAAGGATGCAAACATTCAGCGTTGGAGATGCATGGTCGCTGCGTGGAGCATGCCTAGAGACGATGGAGTGGAGCGAGCGTGCTGCGCAGTGGTTGCTAGGGCGTGGTTCGTAGGAGGCGCGCAGGGATCGTGACGACGGAAGCGGAGATGAACGAGAGACCGTGTGCTGATGATGAAATGTGTGCGGAAAGAGCCGATGTGCTCTATTTGCGTGTCCGAAGGATGATAGTAGTGGGAGACGATCGATGCTGGGGGTGGTTTCTGAAGTGATTGTGACTGCGGTTGCGGTTGCGGGTGCGCTTGCGGGTGCAGCGACGACGAGAAGGGTGGCAGATGGCAAGGATGGGCGAGGCGATCAAAGCGGCGAGCAGCGAGGGCGATGGGTCCAAGCTCGAGGATGCAGGTCGGGCGAGGGCCGAGCTGCAGATCTGGCAGACAGGAGGCAGGGCCGTGTTCAGAAGGGGGCGGCGGCAGCAGCAGCAACCAGCAGCAGCCACCAGCAGCCACCAGCAGCAGCCGACAAAAAAGGAGGGGTGCAGCTGCAGCTCGACAGGCTCGCCTAGCGTTGGGTGCCAAATCGATCCAAATCCACACCGCGCACTTTTCTCAAGGCGGCTTGGCCGGCCGCATGAGTGAGCCTCAGCTCGGCTCTGCCGACTCGGTTGGCGGGAAAAATCACGGGCGCGTTGGAAAAGAAAAGATGAAATCCCAGCTGGGCTCCCAAGCCGTGCTCACTGGGCGCGCAATCGACCCAGACCCCAACGAGCGATGCGTGACAACCAAACATCCGTGCCTACAGCAGCTGAGCCAGCACTGGCAAATGGCGAGAGGAGGGAGAGATCACACCATCGCCGCTCGAGCTACAGTATCTAGGACCGAGATAGGCGCGAGGGCTGGGGCAAGCCAAGAAGAAGCGCTCGGGCCCGCTCAACCTTGAGCTCGTTGCTTCGGAAAGCTCATCCGAAGGCAGGCCAGGACAGACACATGCTCAGCCGCAGCCTTCGGCCTCGAGAGGAGAGCTTACACCTTTCTGCTGTCATCGGCCCCAATGACGCACGGACGAGGGCGAGCGAGCAGTGCCAAGCTATCAGCTGCCGACGCGGCCCTGAGTGGCTTGCAGGAGCTCAGCTTCGGCTGGCTCGATCCTCATGCCCTCCCCAGAAGTCACTAGTATCGGTCTGTTTCCGACTTGCGTCCTTTACGTCGAAACGAAAGATGCAGAAACCCACCTCGAAACGCGCGGCTGCAAGTTGGGCTGCGCGCTGAGGACGGGGCCCGCTTCGGTTGCAACAGCTTCGCTCGGCTGTACCGAGCCAGATGAGAGCGGAGTGAGACACATGGTTTCCAGCCTTGACTCTTGCAATTTCCGCTGCGCATCACCGCTTCGCGCCGTCTCTTTCTCGGAAGTGGAGCCTCGATCCTCGCGTGCAGCTGCACCTTCAGCTCTTCACTCGGGCAGCCACTGCAACCACCCGACCCGGTCTGGCCGCAGTCTTCGGCTCATCCGAGCGACGCAGCTTCCTCAACGTCGGCCTCGCCGCCTCTCACGAATCTTGACTGATCTGACACCAACGTCAACCCATATCGCCGATCCCATCACGCGATCGGTCTAACATGACAATATGTGCTCCGACACACCTTTGAACGACAGCCTTTGGCATTGTACTGAAAGCCAGCGCAGTAGATCTCTCCATGGCAGATCGACTCCAGACCGCCTCTGCCTCCACTCGCAGTGGAAGAGGTGTTGCGGGCGTGTCGCGCTGGCAACCAGGATGACCCTACGAATCACGCCCGGGTGGCTTTGTCAGAACGCCCCGTGTTTGCTCGGCTTCGGGAGTCGGGGCGGTCGAGAGTTGAGTTGAGGCGTGGCCGCGAAAATTTCCCGGAAGCGCCGAGAGAGGAGGAATTTCGAATCCTCGCCTCCACTCTGAGCACGAGAGCCAAGCACAAGACCCAGGGTCTGCACTTGCCACCTCTCCCTCCATCCTCCATCATCGCTCCCTCTTACCCGCACCTACGCTCGCATCACCACCATGAACCCCGCAGAGATCGTGCGAGCCATCCGCGCTCAGGCGACCTCGGACCACAACCCGTACGCCGACAACCAGCATGCCGTCGCAGGGCTCATGGCGTACAAGCTCTCGCAGCACCGCGATGAGATCCTCAACTCGATGAAGCCAGGCTCGTCTTCGGCCTCCGCCTCGACACCTCCCCCAGGCTGCCCTATGCATGCCGGTGGTAGCCCATCTGGTGCTACCGCCGCTGCACCCGTATCGCCGCCTCAGCCCGCTCCCAAGCCATCGCATCCCAAGATGGTCGCCTCATCCGGTGGACAGTGCCCAATCCCGCACGAGGATCGCGACGCCTACCTCGCCTCCAAATCTGCACAGACTCCCCCGCGTGGCTCCATGGCATCGGCATCATCGCCTTCGTCGTCGTCGGACTCCACCCCCAAGCCATGGTCGGCGACGCTGAATCCGCTCAACATGATGCCCTCCCTGGGCCAGAGCCAGGCGCCCGAGCAGAAGATCGAGCTTTCCACCGAGCGCGTCGTCTCGTCCATCCCGCGCTCTCGCAACTCGGCCGCACCGGGCGCATCTCCGTACGACGCGCCATCCGCATGTCCCGTCAAGCACGACAGCAGCACGCCCGCCGAAGAGCAGACGGACAAGTGGGAGTATCCTTCACCGCAGCAATTCTACAATGCGCTCGTGCGCAAGGGGTGGGAGACGCCCGAGGAGCACGTCGAGACCATGGTGCTCGTGCACAACTTTCTCAACGAACAGGCGTGGCTGGAGGTGCTCGAGTGGGAGAAGCTCGCGGGCGCCGACTCGTCGCGTGCCGAGCTCGCGCGCTTTCAGGGCAAGCCGGGCACGCTCACGCCCAAGGCGCGCGTGTTTGGCTGGTTGTCAGCCATCATGCCGGGCACGTTCAGCTCCGAGCCGCCGTTCGACCGCCACGACTGGGTGGTGCGCCGACCGGACCAGAACGGCAAGGAGGTACGATACGTGATCGACTATTACAGCGTCCCCGACGACCCGGACAAGGACGAGCCCGAATTCGTGCTCGACGTGCGCCCCGCCCTCGACTCGTTTGAGAGCCTGAGCGTGCGTCTGCAAAAGGGATTTGCGGAATGGAAGCAGGGCGACGGATTCTTCACCGCCTTTGCCGCCGACAACAGCGCGTCATCCAAGAGTCAGAGCACATAGCCCGTTGCCCGTTGCCCTCCGCGATGACTTGACCTCTTTGCTGCGTCTTTGGAAATCCCACGCACGTTGAAAACACTGCCTGGTCTATTGTGTGTATTGTTGGTGAGGGAGTCTACTGCGTTGGTTGCGACGCGGTCTCGGTGTGCGGGTGGTGTTGCTGGGCGTCGAGGTAGAGCCAAGCGGCATAGTCAGCTACGAGACCCGAGACGATGATCCAGCCGAGGGTGGTGTTGGAGCAGAACTTGCGCCAGCAGTCGGGACGATCGTCGAGTCTCACGCTTGCGATTTGCCAAGCCAGATGGCCGGCGGCACCGGCAAGCGCGATACTGAAGAACGGATGGTGGTGTGCAAGTGCATCCACCACTGGCGAGGATGAAAGCGTGTGTAGCGTCGAGGGAGAGAAGACCAGATCGCCTACGGATGCGGCGCGTGCGGGTTCGAGCACCTGTGCTGCACTCGACCCTACGGCAGGCGGGATGGCTTTCGAAGCGCTGTACCCAAACAACCCAATCATTCCCGCCGAAAACGCCGACAGCACCGGTTTGGTATGCTCGCCAAACAGCAGCGCTGTTGACTTGACGCCGGCATGCACGTCGTCGGTCTTATCCTGATGCGCATAGATCGTATCGTACACCAGCGTCCAACAGATGGAGCCCACATAGAGCGGAACGACCACCGTCCAATCCACAGCGCCTGCTACGGCAGCCCAGCCCAACATTGCGCCCCAGTTGAACGCAAATCCGAGCACGAGTTGCGGCCAGTATGTGACGCGCTTCATGAGCGGATACAGCACGACGACGCCAAGCGAGCTTGCGCCCAGCACGATGCTGTAGGCATTCAGATTCACCAGCACCGCCAGTCCGGCACTCAGCTGGACGCCGAGAAAGCAGAGCGCCTGAAACTGCGTAATGTCGCCCGCGGCGAGTGGGCGCGTCTTGGTGCGCTCCACCTGGCGATCCATCTTGACGTCCCACATGTCGTTGATCGTACATCCCGCTCCGCGCATCACCACCGCACCCACGCCAAACAGCAGCGTGTAGAATAGGGGGGTGGACAGCCCAAGTCCGAGCGTGTGCGACGCCAGCACAATCGACCATGCACACGGCCAGTACAGCAGCCACGTGCCGATCGGCTTGTCGATCCGACTCAGCGCCAGGTACGGTGCAATCCTGAACGGTTTCCTAGCCGCATCACTCACGCTGCCGAGCGGAGCCTTGGCGCCAGTGCCTGCCGGAGATGCAACGGCGCAAGCGTCCGACTTCGAGGTACCACCTGGTTTTGGCGCGCCAGACTGGGTGCTGTAGCGCCTCACCGAGGCCGACGTGCACGACGACGACGCTGCCGCCCAGGTGGAAAACTGGCGGGCCGACGACTGGTCGCTCATCTTTTTCTTCTTGGGCTTGAGCTTGGAGTTGCCCGCCTGCACGTGGTCCGGCTGTCCATCGCCATCCTTGTCTTCGGCCTCGTGCGAGCTCGAGCTGCCACGCCCTGCACCGTCGGCATCGTCCTTGTCGCCGTCCTGCTCGTCCTGCTTTGGATCCGACTTGGACGCGCGGAAGGTTGCAGCCTCGTGACGACGGATGATCTTGAGTGCGTGCTTGTTCTGCTTGCCCGCCTTGGTCTCGCCCTGGTCCCACTCGAGGTCATAGTCCTCGGCGACCTTTTTGATGGTCTTGCGCAGGTCCTTGACGTCCTCGATGAGCTCCTGGTAGCGCTCCACGTTGAAGCCCTTTTCGACGTAGAGCTTCTGCTGGCGGCGCGAGGTGGTCTCGTTGAGCACGGCGCGGTACGACACCTCGCGATTGTGGATGAGGAACCAGATGTAGCCGCCGAGGATGGTGCCGAGTCCCGTGAGGTAGGTGACGGGCTCCATGACGTCCCAGCCGAGCTCGGTGAAGAAGGTGAGGAATGCGACCGAGCCCCACCACGCGCCGAGGATGCCGACGCCGGCAAACGAGAGCCGCTTGGTGCCCGAGTGGGCGATGCGATCGCACTCGGCCTTGAGCTTGGCCAGCTGCTCTATCTGCTCTGTCTTGGCGTACAGGCTGGCGCGCAGGAAGCGCGTGCGGTCTTCGAACGACGGCACGGTCACGTAGACGTTGCGCTCGTCGATGCGGATCACAAAGGAGCCGATGCGCGCCGCATCGCGCAAAAAGTCGCCAATGCCCGTGGCGGGAGACCAGCGCTTTCCGTCGGCAGCGCGCGTGTGGAACGAGATGGGCGGATCGCCGAGCGGATCGAGGAATCCCTGGCGCAGCAGCATCTCGCGCATCTCGAGCTGCTCCTTGGACAGCTTCAGACGCTTGTCGTTGCGCTCGGGCGACGAAGGCGGCCCCGTGGGGATGCTCACCTTGTCCTTGCTGCCAGTTGCTGCGTCTTGACCGTCTGCACCGTTCTGAGGCTGCTGATGTCGTTGCTCCTGCTCCTGCTCGAGCTGGAAGCGACTCGGCTCGGGACTCGGTCCTTCGGCCCGGATGAGGTTGGCGATGTAGCTGAGGGGCTGCGCACTATGAAGCAGGAAGACGACGCTGTGGGCAGGTGCATCTGCATCGTATTCGTCCGCCTCGACGTCGGAGGGCTCGCCGTTTTCAGGGCCGTGGAGGTTGGTGTGTGCGCGATGGTTGACCTGCGACACGGGCGGACCGGGAGTCTCGGCCGCCTCTTCCCACGGCTGGTTCGAGACGCTTTTGCGCTCAGCTGAGTCTGGCGGATCATCTTGCTCGTCTTGCCGTTGCGCTCGTGCTTTGGCCGAGGAGCGCTTGGAGGAGGGCGAGAGCGGGTCGGAGCTGGGTGGTCTGAGCGGCAGCGTGAGCTTGAAGAGGCTCGACTTGGTAAAGGCGAGGTAGCCCTGGTCGCGCTCCGTGCCGAGCTTTGAGGCAGAGTGGTGGTTGCTGTTCTCGTCGGCGGGTGGCGCTGAGCTTGGGTACGTCGTCTTGACTCCCGAGGGTGTTGTGGCATAAGTCCGGAAGCGACTAGGCCACGCATGCCTTCGACCGAGGATATTGCTCGAAGCGAGCCTCACCTTTGCTGGGAGTGTCGCGGTTGATAGGGCTTCGAGACAACATGCGAGGCGTGCTTGAGCAAAGAGCGCCGGTCGCACCGCCATTGTGCTGCACAGTACCTAAGGTTGACTATAGCGGTCAGATCAGCACCCGAGGTTGCCGCGACGTCGGTCGATGGTGCAGCGGGTCCAGGCAGGCAGCGACGGCACCTAGACGCGCCGTACACAGATGGGCCTCGGGATGCTGCGAGCGACGGATGATGGCGCCTTGGTTGGTGGTGGTGGTGGTGGTGGTGGTGGT